CTACCAGTTGGAGTTGAACTGATGGATAGGATCGTTAAGCTGATGGGCAGATTTCGGGAGGAAGAGTGGGGATATTTGATTCCTCAATATCAGAGGAAGTGCTACATGATTGAGTGCACAAATATTAAAATTTTGAAAGTCCTTTCAGCAGTTCACAGAATCTCTGTTTATTTATTTATTTTGTTTTTTGGTTTCCCAGTAATTCTTTTTACTGTATACATCTGTTTGATAAACGCATGTAACTCATTTTCCCCTCTGCTAGAGCTCTGTTCTGTTTTACAGAGATAAATGTTTGAAGAAACACACATTTTCCACTACAAACACTCTGAAATGTGTCCCTAGTGTGTATTTATACCTTGCTGACCCCATCTTTACCTTTGGGCATAATTTCTATTAGGGCACCCCCCCCCCCCTCCAGATTTGTGAGTCCTTCACCTGAGGTAAGAGGCAGTAGAAATGTTTTTGAATGTGGCATTTTTATTCACAGTAAGAAAGCTGCTCGCACGACAGTAGAGAAACTCAATTAGGAGCCACGTTCACCCGAGCGCTTTCTGCTGCCACATACCTCACATTCCCCTCCTCGTGTTATCACTGACACATTGGGAGAGTCTTTTACAGTCCCGCTCACGATTACATTTCTCAAGAGCGCTTCATTTAAAAGAAATTGGAAGGGTTACACCGGACAACCTTGGCATTTCCCTCAGGAGCCGTGTCAGAGCATGATGCTTCATGAAGCAGTCAGCTCCAGCCAGACAAACGTGTCTGACTGAGAGGTACTATGTCTTCAAGTAGCCGGTATAAGGCTGCAAAATGAAGCCCCCGCTCACAGACCCTGCAGATAATGGACATCTCGGATTGTGGAGCGGCCCCCTCTGAGCTATTTGGAGCCCTCACGGAGAGCTCACAAACAGGGACTAGAGGGGGATTTAGCCTTCTTTTAGAGATGGAGTAGAGGCTTAGACCCTGTGGAGCACACAGTACGATTCTTATGTCTGTGGTTGAAAGTGCCTTTGAGTTGTTGGACAGAAAATGTACTTTATTGGTATTTTGCCTTTGAAAGCTATTGTTAGCCCAGAGAGATCTTGAAAATTGTCTTGTTTAATCTTTTTAGGCATTCCGAGTTTATTGAACACATCGTCATTGTGCATGAGAATCATTTCTTGTGCAGCAGTGCTTTGCTTCTCAAGAGTGTCTCCAGGCAGGTTTTAAATGTTGATGTTGGAAAGCCCCAAGCTGTCTATCTCTCTCTGTTTTATTTTTTTAGCATGGCTTTTACCTACTAAACTAACCCCGGATGCCGTCTAAAAATAGAGGCTTTGTGAGCGCAGCTTTAGCGGGGGGGGGGGAGATGTGGTTACTCATCAGTGAATTGAAAAACAAGTAGAGCAGACAAGTGTCTTTGCCCTGCCAATGTGAACTAAAACAGAGAGGGCCTCAGAGAATACAGCAAGCCATGATTGCACCAGGTAAGACAAAGCAGGCAGGGTGCAGAGTCCACAGTGAATCCCTTATGAAGCGGCCTGCCCCTCGCCTCCAGCTGAGCCTTTCATTGTGATGTTGTTTCTAGGGGGGCTTGGATGGCAGTTTAGATTAGATCGCACTCAGTAATGGATTGGAGCTGATGAAAACCTGCTGCAGCCCAACATCGCCATGGCTAGGATCCCTGCACTATTCAGGATCTGGCTGCTTTATTTGGATCAATTTGAGTTACCCTCATTGTTAATAACCCTGTGTATATTCATGCTAACATTGTTCTCCTCTAATCTGTATTCATGCGAGTATTTCATTCAATCCCTTCGCAAAGCCGGCCCTTAATCCTTGCCAATCACATTTTGCTACTTCATAATTCTCCAATTGAATATGCCATGAATGACTTTTCAGTCTCTCTCCCAAAACTGACTCTATTACTGTTGGTATTATTGTTCATAGATTCTTTTTTTTCTCCGTTTTTTACATTTAAATGTAGAAATTCATGTTTTCTCCATTTACTTTATATGGAAGACAATCAATTACTTAAATTTAGTAGGATTTAAAAAAAAAGAAATCCTACAGCTGTATATGCCGTATAGGAGCTCAAGAAGAACATGCTAATTTACTTGTTTTGTTGGGTTTTTTTCCCCTTTAAACAGGTTCTGATTAAAACTACAGTGATGAGCATGGATTTGGGTAGTGTGGGTTTGTTGGGAATGAATAAAACATGGCTTTTTAACAAAAAAAAAGGCTGTTCAAGGAGACCAAGAACTGGGGGGGAAAGCTATGTTTAGTAACAGAAACCTGCTGTGTGGCCATTGTGGGGATGATGTGTTAATCGAGCCACAAACTGTGTGGTTTTTCAGGCCAGAGGTCTCATTTAAACAGGCACGGAAAAGAGTAATGTATTTGAGCAGGGCGCCTCTGGCTCCTAGCCCTTGACTCCATTGCAGTAATGTAAATGGTGGATTAGGTGCCGTTAGCTGGGACCCCCCACCCGCCGCTCCCAAACCCTACCACTGCCCCCCTCCTTTTCTTTTCCATTAAGACAGCTGGTATCTTTCAAAGGGTCCTGGCCCAGTGATTGATGTGTAATAGCTCCAAACCTCACCTGCCCCCTCACAGCCTTATTCATCGGCCAGGCAGTCAGCACTGCTTTCTGCTAAGCAGTCTGTTTCTCTGCTAGCGGGTGTAGAGCCAGCTCGCTCCTCACTTTCTCATTCTTTTCCCTCTCAGCCATCAATACATTATGACTTCTCATTGTCACAGCATTACTGCTTTAAGCTGACTAACTGCTTTTTACTCACTCAATTTACTCAACTTCAATTATCTGCATCAAACTAAGCAATCGGTGAGCTACAAAATGACCACAGAGAATTGAATATGTTGTTAATCGGTGCGTTTCAACACATTTAAACATGTCATAGTGAGTCTGTGTGAAGACAAAAGTACACATGTGCACACACACAGACACACACACACACACACACACACATATATATATATATACATATATATATGTGTGTGTGTGTGTGTGTGTGTGTATATATGGGAGTTTTTTTCCCCTTTAAGAGTTAATTAGTATAATTATGTTAACATAAGCAAGGTAATTGGAGATAAAGAATTTGAGGCAGTTCTGTGGAGTGTATCCAGATGTAAACTAATAGCACCTAGATGTTAAAGGTACTAACTAGGCTTAGAACTGCCTCCGACTTCAAAGGAGAACGGGTCAGTCCTCCATTTGCAACAGTTTAGAGTCCTTGCTGGTTTCAGTGGAAGAGGCTTATGTTACTGATTAGAGGAGAGACGAGGTTCTTAGCTCATACAACAATTCTGGCAGCCCTCAGGATTAGAGCTGTGCTATCAAATACTACCTTCATTAATGTTTTCGTGTACCTCACACCTCCAAAACACGCTGCCGGATATAGACACAGGAGAAAAGGTGTGTGTGTGTGTGTGTGTGTGTGTGATCTGTATTTTGACACACCATCTCGGGTGTGTTACATTGGCTGTGTGTCCTTGCATGCACATGCCCGTTGGAACTCTTCAGAGCCCTCGTGTCTTCTGCGTCTGCTAATGTGTGCGCCAGCAGCCCAGTGGTCGCTGTGGTAACTCATCATTAGGTGATTAATGGGGCTGTGACGAGGCTGCAGTTTAATCAGGCCCGGTGTTTGTGTTGAAGCCGACGACAAGAGCAGCTGCCCTGTCAGTTGGTGTCTGCTCGCGAGATGACAGCACCCGCTGCTGAGGACTGCCGTTGTCAAATGTTCTTCATTGTAAGCGTACATGCGTGTGTGTGTGCGCGCGCGTGCCAAAAGCCTTTCTTCCACCTTTTGCTTTGCTTCTATTCTTCACCTCACGTTCTTTCTGGCTCCGTCAATAAGCACTCGTCCACTTCCAGATATGCTGTATAAATTCTAACTCAAAGCCTTCGTTGCTTCACCTGCCTGAATCTGTATCCCTCCCTCATTTTTCACTCTTCGGCTTCCATCCGGTCATCATGACCATGGTATAGCGAGTGCTGATTGCCTGGTCTGATCCCTCTGGGGGCTGTAATAACTATTTCTAGTTAATTTGTTGCGGTGGGGGGTAGTGGAGGGGGGGGCAAACACTGGCTTTAAATGAGTAGCCTCCTTTGTAGGCGCTGTGTGCAGAGGCTGTGTGGTGCAGACAGCCTGCTGCTTCAGCTTTGCCCACTTTGCTGTTTATGGAGGATTTTTTTATTATGACGTGGGGAAAGTGGTGGCTGGACAAAGATAGCTGCAAGTGGCTGAGGACCAGGCATGGCGAATGAGTGACTCTGCCTCGATCCTCTGCCTTTCCTTACCCAGTGGATTGCTGTATCCTTCCCTCCAGAGCTGTCGCTTCACATTAACGCAGCGGTGACTGTCAGCCAGGGCAGAGGGCTGGGGTGAGGGAGGAGTCCAGTAAGCCAGCAGAATTGAGCCTGGTGTCAACAGAAACGGTCTGCAGAGAAGCCAGGCTGTTAACTCTGTCATTGAGCTTTATGCTGCAGCTTTCCCGTGGCCTTATAAACTACAAACAGCGACTTCTGCCAAAAGAAAAAAAAAGAACCCTCATAGCATATTATCTCAGAGGAATTCTGTTGGCTGGCAGCAGCTTCTTTACTACCTTATTCAGTTATGACTTCCCTTTAGCTCATTGTGTTACAAATACTCTAGCCGCGGCGCTTGTCTTCCTGTTGTTCTCTTTTACCCTTTAATAAATCTGTTTTAGCACCTTTCTGAAAGCGTGGAAATATGTTAGAGCAGGAAGCTCGAAGGTTTTGTTCTTTCATAAAGCTGCTCTGTGCTCTCCGGAGCATACTTGGCTGTGGAGGAGAATGCCAGCAATTACTGTGATGCTGAGAAGAGTCGGCAGAGCAGCCTAATCTCCAAGAACTAATGTTGCGTTTCTTACCCCCAAAAAAGGTGTCATCCAGTATTGAACAACACTTTTAATGTTGTTTGTATTTTGTAAAAATGGTGGTTATTGATCCGAGTTAATTGCCCTTCTTCTTTTCTCCACAGCTTTTCTGAAACACTGGGGTTGTTGGAGTGGCCAAATTTTCCCTGGATTTGACTGGTAAATTCAGAAGACTGAAGCCCAGGCTCACAGTCTACCTTTCACGGAGGCCCAGCCGTGAGAGGACTGAGGAAGGCACGTGGCGGATCATGACGGCCGATAAAGAAAAGGAACGGGAGAAAGAGCGGGACAGGGACAGAGACAGGGACCGGGACAAAAGAGAGGCCGGCAAGTCCCGCCGGCAGGATGGGGACCGGGGCGACCGTGAAAGCGAAAGCTCTCGGCCCCGACGCAGCTGTACGCTGGAGGGCGGGGCCAAGAACTATGCAGAGAGCGAGCACAGCGATGACGACGACAACGGCAGCACCGGCGGAGGCAGCGGCACGGCCGAGGAGGCTGGCAAGAAGGGCAAAAAGAAGATGCCTAAGAAGAAATCACGCTACGAGCGCACAGAGAACGGCGAAATCACGTCCTTCATTACAGAAGATGATGTTGTTTACAGACCCGGAGGTAAGTCCCAGGAACCCTTAATCTAGTTGTGTGAGCCGGTGGGCTGCATTCATCAGCTTGGCTACTAAATGATTAAACTTTCCCAGGTCATAAGCCCACATTTTCGAAAGCATACTTCACTGGATTTGTCAGATGCTGTTTGCAAACACACCATTAAAATTTGGCTCTTCTTCCCTGAATCAAGAAGTGAGAAAAGCGAGAAAGCAGTGGTGGTTAAGCAAGCTCAAGTGTGAATGAACAAAAGGACCCCTCTGTGATGCCCATAAATGTCCTGAACAATTCAGTTTAATATTCGTTATGCAGCATCACTTTACATTTTACAACAATAACCTCATGGCGTTGTCAGTGTTACAGTTCCCTTTGAGCATGCACAGTTGGAGATCATGCTCTAATACAAAAGCATCCTCTGTTAGAGCCAGTGCCCCATCATGACGGGTTTTAGGAAAGCCTGTGCATGTTTTTGCATAGCTTAGCTTCAGCGTCACTTGCACTTTTTAACATAAGCCACTTTCTTTAGACTAAGTTTATTTTAGGCATAGGGGAAAAACTGACATTGATTTATCAGTGATTGATTCTTGTCACCTCTGCTGCCATAAGCTGCTGAGGAATTGCAGATTCTCCAAAGTTGCAGTTCTCCAGCAGCAGAAGTACTCCTTCAGGCTAGAGGCCAATGCATCATACAATCAATTCCAAGTTGACCCACTCTGAGCTTTGTCTTGAGCTTAGTCAATAAAGCAAAGTGGTGCTTCAATAGATGATACGATAGAGACAGCCATGATAATGATTTCATTCCAGCGCTGTCTGACTCACTGAAAATATGCTATCTCCTCTGGGGCCAAAAGGTACTCTACTTTCTGGGAGAGGATTTTTTTTCCCCGAGCTACGGCGGTATGTCTTGAATATGTCGAATAAACGAGGATAAAAAGAGAAGCGACCTTTTTCGTGGCTGTAAACACAGCCCATCTTTTACTTGCTGTTTAAATTAGTTGTATTAGAGGCGGAAATGTCAGCACTGAGTGACGGAAAGAAGCCAGGCTAACTAGCTGTGTCTTTTACACCGCTCACTGTTATCTTGCCTTGCACCTAAATCATTGCCTTCATGCTTTTATATTTCTCTGGGAGCTTGCAAAAGGTCAAGTACTGAGGGAGGGGAGTGGCCCACTCTGCTCGGGTATTTAATGGGAAGATGTAAGAAGTTACAGCGACTGTGTTAGGCTGTCTTCTTCAACAGTCTACCCGAACCACACGTCCAGAATCATCCTCAGGCCTCCTTTTATTCTATTTCATCTACTAAACAGATGAATTCCAGTAGGTGCAGTGAAACAGCCAGACCTGCGCTTTCAGCCTAGCTGCGTAATCCGGTCAGCTAAATTATCTCTGCGCTGGTATCAGTGGAAGTCCTCAAGCAAGCAGTCACACTGAATCAAGCCTTGTTGTTGCTCACACTATTTCTGTCTCTATCACTCTGCGGAGGTCTGCACTGAAGCCTTTTTTACTTGGCATTTCATGTTTAATAGAGAGAGCACCGACGCTGGGTCTCATAGTCGACCATGCGAGGTAGGGGGCGGGCTGGGGGAAAGGGGTGAGAAAACAAAAACAGAAGCAGTCAGTTATATCAATGAAACATTCAAAAGGCGTATAAACAGAGTCGACCGTCTCAGTGGATTAGCTCCTCCGAATATTTATATTTCCACAACCGAGCGAGCAGCACGGACAGGGTCTGGTTGATGTGGAATATTTACGTTTCCTGTCCTCTCCTTCTATTAGTTTGACATTTGTGGAGTGGCCTGAATGTCACAGCCTCCTCGCGTCATGTAGACTGAAGCTGTTAAGATTGGTTTAGATTAGGAATGAGCCACGATAGGGTAGTGACGGCCCCAGCGTCGGTACACTCGTTTGTAATTTACCTCCTGTTGTCAACATGGAAGATCCTCCACCTCAGCAGCCGACTTCCTGCTGTCTCCTCTGCTTATTGTTCAAGTGACAAGTCGTGTTTGTGCACGCGCGTGTGTGCTCGCTTGTGCGTGTGTGTGTGTGAGAGTGCTTGTTTCCTACAGCTTGGTCATTGGTAGCAGCCTTCTTGCAATCAGATTTGATGTGTGCAGCTTAGGCAGGCACAAAGCCTGCAATGGATTATGCTTTACTAAATGTTAAATCCCTTTATAGCCGGCTAGTGACACACAATATGTAAAACTGACCACCCTCCGAGAGGGATTTACGCCACCCCAGATGTGGGGAGGGGAAGAATGTGATGGAGAACAGCGCAGAAAGCGAAAGAAATCGTGAACCAAAATGCCGTTTTGATTGCTTTTGTCACAGGGGAGATTTAGAAACATACAGGCCTGTGTTATCACATAAAAAAGAACAGTTAAGCTAGTATTGAAACCATCTCCCTACTCCTGGTCCTCAGCCACCCTCCAATCTCTCTGCTTAGCCTTTCTATCCCTTGAAGATGGGTTCAGGCAGCTTAGCGCACATCGATTGGTTGGGGAAGTGCAATCGGCCAGTAGGTGGGCCTGCAGCTAACTCTAGCTTTGCTGCTGTTTTAAAAGGAATGGAGGAGTTTGCCTGGTGGTGTCCAGGGGACTGTGTCCCGGGCCATTTGTATGATCGGCTGCTGGGGTGAACAGCTAGCTCGAGCAGACATGCCAAATCGATCTGTACCCTGTGGCTGAGCTCGCACCACTTCCCCGGGCCCAGCCAGACACCTCCAAAGCCTGTTCTCTATATTCATCCACATCCCCACCCTAGATTATAGATCCTCTCTCTAGAGATTATACACACTGCTGTGGTGGATCAATAGAAGACACCCTAGAAGCATAGAAACGGTGCGCACACATACATAGAATGCTGATAACCAGCATTTGTGTACTGAAAAACATACATACACACCCTGTCACATAAAAAGGCATACTTTTAACAGTTGGAAACATGGTTCCTATCTCTGGCAGACACACACCATACAGTGGAGCTAATGGAAACTATCCCCCCTCCTCCTTGTCCTTCTCCCTCACTGTATGTCACACAACATGGCTACTGCAGCAGAAACACTTGATTCATTTTAGTCATTTTTTTTCTTGGCAAGTGTAGATTTGTGTAGAAGGTGAATCATATATGCAGAAAGATTGAGGCTAGACTGAGAAACACACTGTGTGTGTTGAAGGGTTTGTTGATGTGGGCAACTGGCACTCCTTGCTGCAGTCACCACAGAACCCTGGGGTCGTATGCTTACATGTGTGTTTGTGAGTCTTGCTGTATCTCTGTAACGCACAAATACAACCAACAGTTGTTCAAACTTTAGAACAACTGTTGGTTGTTCTAAACTTGCCATGTTCTTTATGTTTATAAGGGCTTCAGCTATCCTTTTCAAATATACACTCATTACCATCAACCTGTTTTAGCTTTGATTGTGCAAAGTTACTATCCAAAATAGAACTACCCACACTGATCATTACATGTCTAAATTCATTGTTGTCAGTATGAATCTTATTGGGAAACCAGGAAGTTGTGAATCTGTGAATGTTGGACTAGTTTTTTAGAGCCAAGACAGCCAGTGTAGTACAGAAATGGCAGCACAACCCATCCGCTACCACAGCTAGCTGTCGATCAGTTTGCAGCTTCCATTCAAGCTAACATAGGGGACAAGCCCTTGGAGTCATTTCATATTGAAACATAGCAGTGTGAATCTGTAGCCTGTCGTTAACTGAACAGATCTATTTTTAAAAGGGCCCTCTCCGCTCTCCCATCTCTCCCCACGCTAGAGACTCTGGGAAAAGGGCTTTTTAGTGAAATCCAACCACCTGCCGACTGCTAAATGAGAAAGCGTGGGCTAGCCGAGAGGGAAAGGAGAGGGGTGGGGGGGTGGTGGTGTTGTCAAAGAGCTTCTGTTCTCCCCTAGGAGCTCAGTCAGCTGTAGGCCTGCCCTATTGTAGAGAGCTGATGGTATCGCTTGCCAGGTATTTCCCACTGCTTTTCCAGTGAGAAGAAGGGAGACTTGTTGGGCTGGTTGTAGAGACGAGAGGAAGGAAAGTTGAGGAAGAATCAAGTGTCTGTTTACCTTCAGGGCTCGACTGCCTGTTGCGCACCCCGCTGAGACCGGCCCAGCAGGAAGTGGCCTTGGTCATCAGCTGGTCTTGCTCAAGAGAGCTGCGGTGAATCACTAGTTGCACCACTCTTATCTTTCTTCTATCTATATTTCGTCTCACACCTCTGTACTTTCAGTATTTCATGTTGTGTGTTTAATTTTAAGATCAGTAGGTTCAAAGAATATTGTTGGGGGTGGGGTTGTTGCTGTTGTTGTTGCTAGCTTTGCTAAAGCCGCACACATCTTCATTGCCCGTTTGAGCCGAGCACCACTTCTGACAACGCAGGTGCGTCCTGCCTCTTGGTTATCACTCACCACCTGCAAGCACGGCTTAAACAAACAGTCCCTTTTTGATTTAATAAGCCCGTCTTGCTTCCTAAAATATGCACCCCCCCCTTCCTCCCCTTACCACTGTTTACAAAACACTGGCATACATGCCTGTGTTCACAATGTGACCTTTCCATTGTTGCTGGCTCATAAAAGAAATCCAAGCAGATATTATCTAAGAACTCCACCTCCTACCCACCCCCACCTCCCCTCCTCTGCTGGAATGCTGCAGCAAATTAAACAGCATTTTATTTGCTTGATACGGAGAAGAGAATAGGACATGCCTCCTTTGCTGAGGCTAGGTGTGTTTTAGATTAGACATGCTTGGCAGCCATGAGAGAATGGCTGGCTGAACAATGAAGTACAGCTGAGAAAAAAAAGACTGAGTGTGTGTATGTGTGTGTTGTGAGGTTGTAACAGTGAAAATTCAGCCGCTTGAACTCAGCAGGTACAGTTTAAACGGAGAAACAGCCGCCACCAGGATCAGGTTTCGGTGAACTGCACTCTGTTACTTCTTGATTATCTCCCTTTGTCGAAGTATCAAGCTCGCGCTCCGTCTCTCTCGGCGTTGCAGTCAGCAGTGGATTCCAAGCAGAAAGGCGTAAACGTATGGTTTTTGAATGATTGAGCGCTCATGTGCAAAAAAAAAAAAAAAAAAAGCACCGCCGTGGCTCTCCTGCCTCCTGTGAAGCCTGCATCCATTCGCCAGAACACACTATAACCCTAAAAAAAAAGCCCATCCCCCACATGGACCCCCGCCTCTGTTAAATACCTCGCCCCCTCCCCTTTCTACTTCTCCACTTGAGCGAGGAGACCCATTTCCAAATGCACAAAATGGCAGGAACGTTTAACCAAACCAGGCAGACCCCCGGAGGAACCGCTTGGCCCAGTTCAGCCTTCCTCCCCGCCTAACCCCCCACTCACCCACCCAAACCTCCCCGAGCTCCGTCACCTCCTCCTTTTTGTTCAGATGACAGAGTCTGAAGCGTTAACTTGGATTTAACTTTCACATTCATTGAGATTCGTGTTCGAGTCAATTTCAGAGAAATGCCCTTGAGGTAGTAGACTTTTAGTGCCCAGGATGAATTCAGAATGTGCTTTTGACGCTCGAAGAATAGACTCGCTTGCTGTCTGTGAATGATTAAACTAGATCCCCCGTCTCTCTCTCTCTCTCTCACTCTTTTTTTTTTTTTGCCCTCCACCTATCTTTTTCACTCTTGCTGTCTGTTCTTTGTGCCTGTTGATGCACTCTGGGGTGCAGACTCGGAGATCTGGCCTCTCTAAATGAATGTGCTGCCGAGGTGAAGGGACACTAAACCCTAATTCCCCCGATTTGACTCCTCCGAAACATGTCATCTCATTCAGATTAGTCTCTTTTGTTCTCTGCCCTCCCCCCACTCCCTCCATCCTGATCTTCCCTCCTCCACCTCCTCCTCTACCCGTTTCTCTCTGTCTCTTCCTCTACACACACACACAGACACACACACACACAGTGTGTTGTTCACAGATCACACAATAGCACTGATGGATATTTTCATTCATGTTATCTTGTAAATGACTTCCAGGGATGGTGTAGAGGAGGGGGGCGGGTGGTGGTGGGGAAGCATGAAGAGGGCAGTAGTGAGAGAGATATAATGCGTCACTCAGAGCCAGCAAGGGCGATAATACCCCCCCCCCCCCCCCCCCCCCACTTCCCCCTTTTAGAACAGCTCATTCAGCCTCCAGCAGATAACAAGCCCACCCCGAGGTTACATACACAAACACACACGCGCGCACACATAGCTTCTCAAAAAACAAAGCCCATGATGTCACAGGCGCACATGTACACAGCAGCCCCCCTCTACAAATGGTGTCTTGGGTGTCAGAGTCATTTAATGTCTTTTGCCACCTCTCTGTTCCTCTGCAAGCGGTAAGATAAACCACAGCCCGATCGATAACTCTGTTGACACAAATAAATAACAGATGATGGCAGCGTCGGTCGCTGAGAGAAGGCGGCTACGCGATCTTTTGTTAGGGAAAAGTGTGGCGTAATACTTCTGTGAGGAGCAGCTCAGCAGGTGTTTCAGCGAGACGAGCGCCAGCCATTTGTGTTGTCAGTGTAAATGTTGTCGATGGTGGCGTTCTCTCTTTCTTTCTTTCTTTGCTTTTTTCCCCCCCATGAGTCAAAGCTCACAGAGCTGCGAGATATCGCCCTCCTTCACGGCTGTGTGTGTGCATGCGAGTTAATGGCAGCAGAAGCGTTACACTTTTCCTCTCCTCGCTGCTCCAATTGGTAGGAGCACCGACCCTAGGAGCATTCAAGTAGCTTTTGTCGCACTGCTTCCGCGTGTGTGCGATCTGTTTCTCAATCAATTAAGTGAATGGCTTTTGATTGCTCTGCCTGGTATAAACTCCTGTTTTACACCAAAATAAATCATTTTACACTCAGTTTGATCACACTCCTGGTTTTGTGTTGCAGTTAAGAGCCAAAGGTGACTGTTATGCTAATTTGACTTTTGTGAATTCACATCTCTCGCTCTCTCGCTCTCTCTCAATAATCATTTAAAAACCTGGCTGTTTCTGGAAAGTACTGTGGCGGGGTGAGCAGTAACCATTAGCTGTGTCCCCCAACACCACCACCTCCTCCTTTTTTTTCTCCTTCCTAACAGAAGTGGCTGTGTGTTTTTTGTCCTCTGCAGCGTGAATGTTTTTGTTAAGGAGATGAGAGTTCATGACCTGGCCATACCACCAGTCACATTCAATTTAGCCACGCAGCCAGCCGGCCCAGCTCCTCTCTCTCACACACACACTTTTTTTTAATTGGTTTGTTTCTCTCAGAGTAACCCAGAGCTAACTGTTGGCTGTAGTTGTCATTTTAGTAAAAAACAAGTCACAGTGAAGACTTGAGGGGTGGGATGGGGTTAAAGCTAGTATTGCTCACTGGTGTATAAATGGAGTGGAACAATAACATAATTCCCCTGGGGCGTAATGTTTGCTTTGGAAAGGCAACCTTGTAGCGCTCCAAAAGTCCTTAATCCTATTACTCGCATTCCAATTGAATTTGACTCAAGGAGGAAAAAAACGTCTTTTCAGCAGAGGTAACAGCACACAAAATAATATATTACTGAGTCTGGCTGCTTAAAAGCATGAAAGCTTTGAGAAGTGTGAACATCTCCTGTTTTTTTTTTCCTCACTTGCAGATTGTGTGTACATTGAGAGTCAGCGGCCCAACACTCCCTACTTCATTTGTAGCATTCAGGATTTCAAGCTGGTGAGTAGATTTCTTTTTATTGTTCCACTTCCTATCAGCCTATTTCATGTCCTCATTTCCTCACACCAACCCATCCATACATGGCATACAAGGGAAAGCATACTATTGTTGTGAAGAAATTCCAAAGGAAATCGGGGCAAAGCTGATTAAATTTACATAACAGATCATACTGAAGTGCTGATGGATTATATCATCAGTTTGGGGGGTTTTTTTTTGTACTGGCAAATAAAAATCCTTCAGCGAATCTTAAACACCACTAACCTTTGCAGTCCACTGGCAGTGTAATAATGCCTGTAATGGAAATATAGATGTTAGTCGATGTGGTTAATTGATTTAATGAAGGAGACCTTCACCGCTTTTCAATTGATTTTTTTTTTCCCTTTTTTACGACCTAATGTGGCCAAATTGCCTCTTTTGCTGAATAAAGAAAGAAATTAGTTTTTAATATGCTGATGAGAATAGCTGATTCATCAGGCTCGGTCACTTTAGTGAGACGGTGCTTGTTTTCTGCGCAACAGGACACTTAAAATTCATCACAGCCACACACACATACTCACACTGGCTTCTCCAGAAGAGGAAGTTGAGTTCATCCGTAATAGATTTGTTTTTGTCTATGCAAATAATAAAATAAAGGGCACAGTATTATGGTTTGAGAGCTTCAGTTAGTTTGCTATATGGTAATTGCCTTTAATGACACACTGCACAGTTTTAGAAGGAGTTTCATGACTGGGTGCAGATTATCTTTTTTTAAGTAATTTGTAATTTGATGTAAAATCCTGGATTGTCTTATTGCCACACTGTGTCTTTTTACACTAATGGCACCAGTGGCTTACCCCATGCTGGATATTTCCTAAAGGCCGATGCACCCAGAAGATTGTTTTCTATTTTTGGGCCAACCTTCAAATGGAAATATTTCACTGAAGCTTGAAATTCATTATGAAACTGAATTTGAATGTTTTTAATTGGTCTTTTGCGTGGCATTCGACTGCCGCGAACAAAAAAGCGGAACTCATTTCGGTCCAGGTTTGCAGTAATGTGACCACTATTTATTGGGAAAAGACTCTTGGAATTTGTAATGAATGGGTTTGTGTTGCCTTTTGAAGCCACGGCAAAGCCTCCCAAGTATTACCTGTTTTTCAGGAGATTGGTTGTCTAAGCAGAGCACAGAAGACTTTGGGAGGGGAGGGTTGGGCCAAAGGAATGGCTGTTAGAGTCAGAGGCCACACTTGGTGCTTTATGAAACAGGGGAGTGGTGAGGGTGTGTGTGTGGCCTAACATCCACCGAAGGAAACCAGAATTGAGATTCTAAAGTAATATAGATAAACATTTTGTGCTTAATTTGTCACTTTTTCAGTTTTAGGTGGGGTGGATTCTAGACAGGTCACCTGTCTTTCACAGTCACAGCTAATTCACTGAAGCTTAAATACATGTTTATTTGTAAAACTGGCCAAAAATAACAAGAAAATGCACAGATGTCTATTAAGTTAGGTAAACATACTGTACTCATATACCACCTTTCTGTTCAATTTGAGCAGGCAAAGTGTTAAAGTGCTTTCCATTCACACACATTCATACAAACGCTTAATTCTATGTCTAAACTTTGCCTAAAATTCACACACACACACACACACACACACTGGTGGATGCTGTGAGGGGCAAGGCATGAAGACTAGAGTAGCCCCTCTTAACCGCTACATGTGGACCAATTACTTGTTTATCTACAAGTTTATGGATTGTTTATTGAGAATATATGAATTCTAGTAAAGTGATCATTGTCTTTTAGGATAATTACACACACTTGCAAATGCTTTTGTGCTCAATGGGCAGCTGAGTGTAGAAGGGTTTTCAAGGTGAGCTGCAGGCCTTGCAGCCAGGCCCCACAGCAGCGAGGCTTTAATCGGATTGCTTTCAGAGACTGCTGAGGATGGCAGGAACCTTTTCTTATGAACGCATGCACACACACACTCGCACGAACACCCACGCACTTGCACCTTGATTAAGAGCGCCAGAAGAGGTCTGGGGCAGGCAGAGGTAATTGTCCAGGGAGAGAGGCAGAATGCTAGCTACATTAGCTGACCTCTCTCTCTCCCTCTCTCTCTCTCCCTCTCTCTCTGTGTCTGTCTCTGTCTCTCTGTTACTCCCTCCCCCAGTCCGTCTGTAATTAATGAACAGCCATCTGCATGCCTGTATGTGTTTGAGCAGACTGTACCCTTGTCCTCCTATGTTAAGACAACAAGCCCCCGCTGGCTCTCTAAACACGTACAGCATTTTTCAGTGAGCTCACTTTGTCACTGAACTACAAACACACACACACACACACACACACACACACACACACACACACACACACACACACACACACACAAAAGAAAAAAAAGCCAGGCTACATTGAAAACTCGTAATCTCTGTTTGGTAGTCTAGCACACAATCCTCTTTTAGGATGATGGCTGATTTAGGTTGTAATTGCACGTTTGTATAAACTACCATCTAGCTGAGCCAACCTCGATTCTACCCCCGTCACCCTGCGCTCAAAACTGGGGCACAGAGGCCTTGTGCTTTTGGGAGAATAAAATGCTCCTTCACTCATTCGGCTCTTTTGCAGAACATAATGGTCAGGCTAATCTCATTTCCTCTCCCTGCCACGATATATTGAAAGGAAGAGACAACAGGCAACATGAGTCGTATAACATCAACTGCTTCTCTTTATTTCCCATCTCCTCTCTAACCTCCCTCCCTCCTTCTGTCTCCAACCCCCTCCACCACCACCACCTTTTCTTGCTGCACAAATTATCGATCACTCCACCCCACCTCTGCGTGGTGGAACAGGGCTTTGGAGACACAGCAGAAAGGGGAAGAAATTTTATTGGTCCCGAACCAAACAACCTCATCAATATTGCCCCTCTCGCACCTTTCTCCTTTTTCCCCAACTCTCACTTGCCTTCCTCAGTCTTTAGGCCATAACAGTCTCAGTTGTGTACTTTATCTAATGACCTGTGAATCCAATTAGTGGGGTGTAGAAATCCTGAATGCAGCCATCAATCTCTCCTGCACGCAAAGAACAAGGATTGAAGCCGGCCTCTCTGTTTATGTATTTCTTATCTTTTTCTCACTTGGCGTTTTCTCCACGTCGAGGTGATTCTGAGCCTGTTCTCATTACATATATGTCATCTACCCCTTTTCCACACGCATACACAAACACCAAGACGTCCATTCAACAATAACACATGCAAAAAAAATCAATTCTGCGTCACTTTTAGGGTCATTGTGGACTTGGAGGGCAATCATTTTTGCCTGACTCGTTTAGTCAACAGTGGCAGCTTTGGTGCCCACTGCAACCCCTGTGACACATTGATCCATCCATATAGAGTTCCGCCTCCTCCCTCCCTCCTAACATGTCTGCCAAGATACGGAGATGAGCAGCAGCGGACTGTTTCTAAACCGTTAGAAGCGGTAGTGGCGTGGCGAACTGTTAAAACACTCTTACAAAGATGAAAATCTCTGCCGCCCACATTTCAATTATTAAAAGTGTGAAAGTTTGCAGCAACATTAGTAAAACTCATCAGTTTTCGAAAATGACAAAAATTATTAGCAAAACTTGCAGGAGATTTTAAAAAAACAGAAATAAATGGTGGCACGAAATTGTGACTTTAAATGAATCAAAGAATGATTGAAATGTTTCGTTTAAGGCGGGTAACATGGCGGGTATTGTAAACGTGCATCACAGTGCATTCTCTCGGATGTGATTAGTTAGGTCAATTAAAGGCCTGCAGTCCTTTAGGCTGTTCTCCCACAAGGGCTAGTTTCTGTTTACACCCAGTGCCGTGACCTTGTAATGTGTTACAATCTATACTGGATGAAAGCAATGCAGGGAGCTTGCCAGATACAGACTTGTGTGTTTTTTATCTTGTGCGTGTCTGTGTGTGCTTGCGCCGCGTTTCTATTCTGGTCACGCAGCTTGTATTATGATCATGTACTTTGATACGTATTAATCTTGTTCTCACGCGAGTCGTATGTCGCCGTGAGAGAAGAATCGAAGACAAAAAGCCGCCTGACAGAAACTGAGCGCTGAGCAGTCTGCAGCCATATCTGCCCATTGACCCTGACTTCACCAATCCATCCTGCTCTTCTTACCTCAATTCTCTCCTCTGTCTCCATTTCTCTCCCTCTCACTCTCTCATCTGTCTGTTTCTACACTTCATTCCCCTCCTCCCCCCATCGTCCCCTCTCCTCTTTATCTGCTGTCACTCACCTCCCTCCCTCCTCCCATCCCATGTTCAAGCCATTGTGCTCGTGTCCTCGACGCTCATTGACCCTCCCACCTCTCCTCTCTGCTTGTAGCTAGCCTTATTTGCTGTTATTGGCCAAGTCAGCTGTGCCCCATCCTCCCTCCCGTCCTTCCTTTCCCTACATCCTTCTCTTTCCCTGCCAGCAACCCTGTCTCCCTCCCTCTTTCGTTAATGGAGTGATTGCAGCGTTTCTCCCTCGGGGAACAAGGGATTGAGGAGCCCAGTACACCAACACACAAACATACAAACACACACACACCCTCACAGTCTTTCTCTCCTACTGTTAGCCTCACAAACAAATGCTCATCTCCACCCCTGGATCTTCCTGCTTATGGACATTTAATTAGATGCCACGTACAATGCAATTATCTTGCCAGGATTCGTGCTCATATGTTGCAGTCCTGATCAGCTTAAAAGGATGAAGGATCTTCTTTGCCGTACAACTAGTACAGAGCACACTGTATTCACTGGTTTTCATTATGTCCCGTCATTTAGCAGCAGTGTAAGGTTATAACCACCCGAGATTGAGTGCGCTCTGTTTTGTCTGCGAGATGTGCACAGGTTAATCTGCGACACGCTTTATGTTCTTTGTGTTTGTCCAGGGAAAACATGTTGTGATGTCGTGTTTGTACAGGTCAGAGCGCTGTCAAGTAACACGTCAATACATGCACTTGGCATGTGTGGATGTGCATTACTGGAGATAATGATGTTAAG